TGCCTCAGGAGAAAAATTCAAGCAGGGCCAGGAAACCAGCAGAACTCAAAACCAGATGCTCTCCCCAAACACACACACACACACCACTATGGCACAGTGCTATGGGTTTTTACATTTCTCTCCACACCTCTTTTCAGGGCAGTAGCCTGAATTTTTTTGGTTCAAAAACTCTTTGAACAAATGTGATACAAATTTCCCACCTGAGCTTTGTAATGTTTTGAACAACTAATAAAATAAATAAATAAATAAATAACAAATTTCCCACCTGCATATACCCGCAAATCATGCACATTATTTCAAGAGACTTAAGAACCTCCTCAGAGCAATTCATGGGCTCTTGGAGTCTCTATGTACCAGGTTAGGAAGCTCTGTTTTAAAGGAACAGACTGGGGCTGGGGTTGTGGCTCAGTGGTGGAGGATGCCTAGCATGTGCGAGGTACTGGATTCTATTCTCAGCACCACGTAAAAATAAATAAATAAAATAAAGGTACCTTCTATCTCCAACTAAAAAATATTTTTAAAAAGAAACTGTTAAAGGGACACACTTAAATTACAATGCTGGGATTAATTATGTGACACTATAGTTGAAGATTGCAGCTAAATTCTGAATTTAATTATTCAACAAACATTTACTGTATGACAATCATGTGACAGGCCCTGTTCTTTGCTCTTCAGATTATTTTGTTTATTTAATCCTCACAACTGCCCTCAGCATTACTGTATGCACTTCTGGTCAAGACACTTGGGGTACAAGAAGAAGATTTTTTGTCTGAGAAAGGAACATATGAGTGTCCTGGGGCTGCTATAACAAAGTACCACAGACTTAGGGCCTCAACCACAGAAATGCATCGTCTCCCAATTCCAGAGGCTGGAAATCCAAGACCAAGGTATGGACAGGGCTGGTTCTTTCTGAGGTGGTGAGGGAAAGGTCTGCTCCAGGCCTCTCTCCTTGACTTGATGGCTGCCTTCCTCTGTGTATCTTCACAATATGTTCCCCATTTCTGTATCTCTGTATTCAAACTTCCCCTTTTTATAAAAACACCAGTCCCCTTGGATTAGGGCCACCCTAATGATCTCATCTTTATTCGATTATGTCTGCATTTCCAAATGCGGTTGCATTCTAAGGTACTGGGGGTTAGGTGTTCCAACATAAGAATTTGGGAGGCCACAGTTTAATCTGAAACAAGGGATCATGGTTGAGAAAAAGAGCTACAGAAGTCTAGAAAATTTTAATGACAGTAAATCCTTGGTATAGGAAGAACAAACTGGGTAAACCTGATTAAGGATGAAGCCTTGTACCAAGCACAGAGCACAGCCCTGAAGGAACCTGAGGCACAGCTGTGTCCTTCCCTTGAGAAGTGTTGGATATAGCTGTGGAATCTCAATAAGCCTGCATAGCAGGTAAACAATTTTGATTGCACACACTCAGAAATGCAAACATGTCACTGTATTCTCTTTTAATTAGACTCAGTGGGGCATCCATCCAAAGAGCTATCATTCCATCAGTGTCCACGCCTATTAGCCATTTCCGAGGGATTCCCAGCCCCAGCAGGATTCTTACCAATGGGAATACTGTCCATCAGGCTCCAAGGCTGTTTGAACACTAGGAAGATCCAGTTTAAACCACTCAAGAGGTCTAAAGGATTTGGTGGCACTGTTGCAAGACCTCTTTGTCCTGGCACCCCATCTAGTGGCTAAGGACATATTTGCAAGACTGCTGTATTCCAGAATTACAGCCAGAGAAGTCCTCTCTATGCATAAACGTTTTCAGGAAGGAGGAAGCACTGCGGAGGAGTTTACACATATAAGAAAAACACAGTCCTAGGGGAAAGATGGGGGATATTTCAATTGAGACAATGGAGAAGCCAACTGGGACATTGAAAGACGCCAAATATAGAGAGAGAAATGAACTTTATATCAAGGGCAATACACATGAGCACTTACTAAGAAAAAGCATCCAATTTAGGGAAAAAAATAAAAAAGAAAAACAGGCTAATGGACAGTGATCATTAGTGGTGAGGAGGAGTAGGTTAGCTGTGCTCAAATCTGCAGATAGGCCATCACTCAACTGTGTACCTATGGTGCATCAGACTCTATGTGAGGTACCCAGTAACTTGTCCACTTCCTTTGACCTCATAGCACCCATATTTTATAGATGAGCAAACTGAGGCTCAAAAGGCATAATTTCTATCCTCTAAGGCCACAGCTGTTGAGTAGAAGAGTTGGGATTTGAACCAGGTGTGATTGAATCTAAAGGCCATACTCCTTCACTGGGTAAAATAATGGCATAAAATGCTTAGATGCTTATCTAATGCTTAGATGGATTATCTTGGGAAAAGACATTGAAAAGTCAGCTACAGGGACACTGAAGAAATGCAAATTTGGCTTGAGGTGATGGCATTAGAAATGAAAAAAGAAGAGTGGATCAGAACGACTACTAGAGGGAAAGTCTTAGTGACATACTGGATATTCAGGGCGAAGAGGAGAAAAGAAATAAAAATGACACCAAGCCTCTAAACCAAAGCAATCAGAGAGATAAAAGCAAAAGGCAGTGATTAAGGAGCCAGTGAACAGTCAGAGGAGAGGGAGACTTGAGCACCAGACACATCAAGTGCCGACTGATATTCTTAGCAATGGGCTCAGAACCCTCGTAAGTTCAGGGGACTGCTGATGGAGATTTAGATCACGAAATATGTCCAATATGTCCCAGCATGGCACACCAGGATGGTGATACTGCTCCACAACTGCAGTTGATGCGTATAGATTATTTTTGCTACAATTAATAGTGCAGGCTATTCTAGCCCCTTCCAGCATGTGCAATAAGCAGGTTATAAGACCAAGTGGAAAACACAGCAATTTGCAGTAGGGCACTAATCACAATGATGATAGCAGGCTCAAAAATGGTAATTCAGGGCTGGGACTGTAGCTCAGTGGCAGAGCACTTGCCTAGCATGCAGGAGACACTGGGTTCGATCCTCAGCACCACATAAAAATCAACAAATAAAGGCACTCAATCCATCTACAACTATCAATTTAAAAAAAAAAAAGGTAGTTCATGGGCTGTGGGGGAACTTGACTTCATGAGTGAGTACCATCTAGGAAATAAGGAGTTCCAGTGAAACCCAAGGGTGTGGAAGCATCTAGGCCATTTCTATGGAGTGGTGATAAAGTTGTGATTGCTGTTAAACTGTTATTTTGAGTATATTACTCCCACTGACTGTGCTGCCAAAACTCTAGTATTTGAAAGTGTGACAAAACATAAAGTCGAGCAGCCCTGGCACATGGTTGTAGCTGAATGCAGGAGCTCCCTGAGCAGGAGCCAGCTCCTCTTTTGAGGCTGAGTTTTAAGGGTGGCCAAAGAAGAGCCAGAGATCCTGTTATTTTGGTGGCATTTGGAATGTCAGCACTCTCAGAAGCCACTTAACTTTAGGGAAATTACCCCCAGTGGCTTCTGGAGAAGCCCATGGCTGCAAGCCCTATGTCCCCTGAAAGTCTTGAATCTTATCTCACAATCTTTTAGGCTGCTTAAGAAAATGGTAAAATGTGTGTTCTTTCTTATTATCCTAGTCAAGGTAGAATTTTAAAAATTGAAAGACTTCAAAATAAAAATGTTAAGTGTGATAGAGGGTAATTCAATTGATTAGCCATCCTGCAATGTATGCATTTCAAGACATAATTTTGTAAAAACAAATGGGAAATGGGATCCTGTCCATTTCTTTCTAATATTATGAGATCACATGACCCTTATAAGAGAAAAGCAATGTGACAAAGGCCAAATTCTCCTAGCAAATGCTGTCAACTGACTTTGGGGCCAATAAACATGTAAGTTTCATGGACCTAGATTTAACAATAAAATTTATGTGATAACTATAACAAAAGAATGAGAGTATGACTGGCCATTTCTGAAATACCCAATTCTTTGAACAACTATAAAGTCAGATCTTTTATGTATGTTTTGATTCAACCCCAGCTACTCAGTTAAGCACAGTTCTTTTCTTCATTGCATACACAAAGTACCTAAGGGCACTCTGTGTAAGGCTCAGCTGGGAGGCATGGCAAAGTCCACATTTTTGTGCCACTAAGTCCAAGGATGAGGCACAGGACTACACCTCTTTAACCCATTTCCCGTGTGGGGTTGCCAGTTGAAATACAGGATGCCCAGATAAACTTGAATTTCAGATCGACAGTATAAAGTCCAAATGGGATATGTGAAAATTATTAAATAAAAATATTTAATGGGGGCTGGGGTTGTGGCTCAGTGGTAGAGCACTTGCCTAGCATGTGTGAGGCAGTGGGTTTGATTTTTCAGCACCACATAAAAATAAAGTCCAGTGACAACTAAAAAAAAAACCTATTTTTAAAAATCTAAAAAAAATGGAGCTAGGGATATGGCTCAGTTGGTACAGTGCTTGCCTCACATGCACAAGGCCCTGGGTTCAATCCCTAGCACCACACCAAAAAAATATTTAATATGTGTAACTTACTGTTGATCTGAAATTCAAATTTACATAGCTGTTCTCTTGTAGCTCAATCAGACAAAACCTATTTCCAGGGGACCAGGATGCTTCTCTTGCAAATAATACTACATAGGACCAGGGGAGCAGCTAGACAAAGTCCTTTTCCTTTCCAACACAACTCCAAGAGTCTATGAGACACTGTAAGCAAAGGAATTCACCAGTGTGACCTGTTGTTGGTATAGCCTGGCTCTCCCCATTTTATCAAAGCACAAATTACCCATGAGATTCCTTTTTGGCTTTATATTTTGCTAAAACTATTTTAGGGCATCATAAGACTTAGATGAAATGGAAATTTTACTATTTTTGCAAACCCACAGATTCTCAAAGCAAGAAACATTTAAGTCAGAAAAGCAGCAAAACATTATTTCATTTCCTGTCCATAGGCTGGTAAGGAGTTTTCTCTGTATCATGCTACCTTCAACACATGTGTCTAGATGAATTTGCAAATCAAGGGTAAAGCACTCATCCTTAGAGAACAAAAGCTCAAATTAAGAAAGGTTTTATTTTTCCTGACAAAATAAATAGCATTAACACACATACAAATGCCAGAGAAAGAGTTCACTGGATTTTATAAAAGAGAAAACCACATACAGGTTTCAACTAGCAATCAGAACCACTGCAGAATGACCACTGCTTGTGGTGACATAAGTACAACATGTGCTTGTCTAAGAAGTTGTTTTGTGTTTGTATCTATGTGGAAATGCATGACAAAAGTGAAGCAATGCAATGTGAAATGGCAGGTAGTCAAACTTTAAGCCCCTTTTCTCCACTCTAATGTGCTCTCATTCTGCTTTTGAGAATTAAATTGGTAGGTCATTTTACAAAGAACTTTAATATCAAAGACTTCTTCCAAAAATCTAAAATAGACTCAAGGTCATGAGGAAAGTTATTCAGGATAGTGGGGGGTTGTGTTCTCAAAAGCCAGATTTCACACAATGGCAGGCACTAAATCTAGTCACGTGTGCTTGCAGTAGAACAGAAGACACTGAAGTTAATAGAGGCTGGTCTTTTTCATGATGCGCAGGAACTCCTGCTCATTGACCTCTCCATCTCCATCTCGATCAGCTTCATCAATCATTTCCTGCATGACAGTAAGGATTCAGGTTAGATTAATTAATAAACTAAAAGGTGATTAAGTAATGGGCTTTTAAAAATGTTATGTGAAAGCATGACTGTAGTTTACCTAAGCAGATATGATAGATGAGAAATACTTAAAATTATTCCTAATAAATTATTTGAAAATCAAGTCACATATTGTCATACATATCAATTGGAGGGGACCTTGAAGAATACCTTAACTAGACCTAAAAAGTAAATTCAATTGCACATATGTGTTTTTCTGGAAGCAGGGTTCATAAGGTGTGTTGCATTCACAAAGGAGAATTAAGTTGTCAGTAGAGGGACAAGAAGACACTAGCTTTCCTTCAAAGATGTGCTCCCACCAAAGAAAATGCAACTCAGAAAAGCTAGAGGGCTCAAAGGGAGGAATTCTTAGTTCTACACTCAGGTATTACAGACCTGTAGCTCCTCATCAGTCAGGTTCTCACCCAACTCTTTGGCCACGCGCTTCAGATTCTTGAATGATATCTTTCCAGTTTCATCATCATCAAAGAGCTTGAAAGCTTTCAGGATTTCTTCTTTGGTATCTTTCTCAGACTTAACAAGTAGAACAGAAAATGTATGAGTAAGAAATTACCACTTCTGGTCATGTCCTGCAGCTCCACTGCTGCCCACTCACCTTGTCTTTTCCAACAGCATAACATGAGTCTAGATATGGGGGAATAGGAAGCTAGGCAAGCCATGTTCTCCAATCTGAGGTGACACTGCCTCCTAATCTATTGCCCTATCCCATATCTAGTTCATAAGTGCTTCAGAATTCAGTGGAAAGAGCTGTCTGCTTGATGCAATAAGCCAAGAGTCTTTGAGGAATAGACATGAGGACTTGTTTTAGGGGCCTAAAGTACTGTTACCATAGGTAGAAGCTGTAGGCTTCTGCAGCAAACCAAGGCCAGGCTTTTTAACGTGCAGCACCAAGTAACACTAGAAATCTACAACAGCTGCCACTAATTGTCTCTTGTTCAGAACTTTCCCCAATTCTGAAGCCAAGGAGGAACTTATAAGAGAACTAGCTTGTTGGATTCATTCCTTAACCCCTCCACCCTCCTCTCCCCACTTTGAGAGGTCTCAATGATAGCCTTCATGACATAGGTCCTAGGTTGCAGGGGATCAAATATAAGCCAGGATAGAAAAAGAGGACAAATTTAATAAAATTATTAAAAAACCTAAAGGTTAAAAAGGAAATATAGGGGCAGAGGCTGTAGCTCAGTGGTGGAACATTTATCTTGCACATACGAGGCACTGGGTTCAATCCTAAGCACCACATAAAAATAAATGAATAAAATAAAGATATTGTGTCCATCTACAACTAAAAATATTTTTTTTTAAAAAAAGAAAATATAGGGCTGGGGATGTGGCTCAGTAGTAGAGCACTTGCCTAGCATGTGTGAGGCACTGGGTTCAACCTTCAGCACTGCATATAAATAAATAAAATAAAGATCCATTGACAATAAAAAAATTATTAAAAATATAAAAGATTATACCTAAAAGGTTATTTGTATAAACTAAGGAGATACAGGATTCATTTTTAAATTAAAGGAGCAGTGGGTAGAGTTAAAATTAGGGAAAATACACTGCTGAGGTGGAAGAAGAAGAATCCTCTTGGTGGAGGGAACAGGCAGGGAAGAAAGAGAGGTTATTCTACTCATTATATTACAGAGTTATTAAAGTCCAAATATTTCAAAAGGTACCTGCTAACAGCTATAAATGGAGAGAGCCCCTAATAAGAGCAATCTGGGAACCCACTTTGAATGTGGGAGAGCTTTACTAGGTGGCTACAAAATGTTGAGTCTTCTGATCTCCTATATTAGTCCACAAAGAAAAATGTAGGCATGACTAGATTATTTCAAAGAAACAAAATTGGCAGAGAAAGAGATAAGACCTGCGCCCTTGGAAATACACTAGGATAATAGGGCGTAACCTATATACAGGCAAACAGAGAGAAGATGAGCCACACTAAGGAGCCAGGTGGTCAATGAAAGAACAAGGCCTTAGATGTTGGCCCAGTGAGAATAGCTTATGTTCTCTTGACCCTTTGGATCATTTAAAAGGGTGACACCTGAGAAACTAGAGAATGGATGAGTGCAACCTTAGATGTGCTGGTAAAACATATCCTCACCGCAGCAGAAAGCACAGGTGCTGAAGTAAGTACCCTTAGCCTGAATTGCCCTGAATAAAAACTAGAGAGAAGGGTTCTGAACGTTAAAGTACATGGGTTTTGTTTCGTTAAAATGATAAGTATTTAAAATTGTTGGGGCTTATAGGTTTTCTTCTTGTCATTATCCCATCAGCTAAAGAAGGATAATTGCCAAAAAATGAAAGCAGCTGAACTTCTACTACTTTACAGAGGGTAAAATGATTTCTTAACTTTGTGACATTGAAAAAAGCCAAGTAAACAGACATATGAAAAATTGTGGTATACAAGTGTAATAAGAATTGTAATGCAAAAAAACCCCACAAATTTATGTATAAAGACATGAATTGGCATGAACATATTTATATACAAAGATATGAAAAATTGTGCTTTATGTGTAATAAGAATTGTAATGTGTTCCATAATCATGTATTTTAAAAAATAAAATCGATTAAATTTTTAAAAAAAGAAAAAAAACAAGTAAAACTCAAGCATCCAACTTCTCAGTTGAAAATACTATCATTTATTAGGCAAACTCTCCAGATTTTACTGACTTTTCTTCAGTTTAAAAAGTACATGTTTAAATGTACATTTAAATGCATCTGTCATTATGGTGGACAACATGCTAATTATCTTAGTTAACTTACCATTTTCTGAGTCATCACAGTCAAAAAGTCACTGAAATTCATTTTTCCTGTCCCTTCTTTGTCAATTTCACTTATCATTTTCTTGATTTCTTCTTTCTTAGGTTCAAAGCCCAGGGCTCTCATTGCCACCTATAATTAAAACAGGATTATCTCAATAAGCACATGGAAGTCAAGCAGAGGCAAAAATAACTGCTACAATAATATTAAAGTGATTGAAGAACACATTAACGTAGATCTAATATTTGCAATCTGATATTTGCAATCACCTTTACTGAATAACACTTGAGGTAAGTAAAAGCAGGAAAAAAAAAAACACAGTACATCCTCCCATTAATTTCTGCAGGGAGAAGAGGGTACAAAGGATCGTGTAGTGAGAAGAAAAAGACAAAGAAGAGGAAAGCCAGTAGAGTAGAAAAAATGTAGAGCTTGCCTTTAGTTCCTTAATATCTATGGTCCCAGTTCCATCAGCATCAAAGAGATCAAAAGCTTCCCGAATTTCTTGCTTCTGCTCTTCAGTAAGCTCTGGCTTAGGACTCATCCTTTTTCGCTGGGCACTTGATGCCATATTTGCCTTCTTAAAATTGGAGGCCTTTAAACATTATACAAACACACGAGCATGATACAGTACCTATTTTGTGTAGTTACAGACACCCATGTATATTTTTAAAATATTTTATACCAATTTTAAAGCTCTGCTTAACAAAAAGAGGAAGTTTTACTGGAAAGAACAATGAATCTATTCATGAACCTCTACCCCCCTCTTTCTTTCGTGTTTTTTTTTTTTGAGACCTCTTTTCTCCATATTATACACAATGGTGGGATTCATTGTTACAAATTTGTACTTGCACACAATATAACAATATAATTTCATCTGTATCTTCTCCCATCCCCTCTGTTTTGTTTACTAGTGTAGTTAGAAGCAAAGAGATACCTTGATCTTAAAAATCATCCAGAAAAACAGCTAGCCAAGGAATTGACTGTGAACAAATAGAAATGCTCAACTCTCTCTGCTTTTCGTGATGCACCCACTTACAGTACTGGTTCCCAAGAAGACTCTGAATTTTCCAATTACTTCTAAATTTTCCCAAATATTATTAAGATATGTATTCTGTCAATATCATGCCACAAAACCCAATCCATTCAGCACCTTCATTCCTCTTCCAAGAAGCTGGAAGCACCTCCTGAGTGCCCCATATTTAAATTGCAAAATACGGATTAACAATCAGAACAATACACCACCTGGCCAGTTCTATGGAAAAACTTTAACTGAAGCCAGGGTCTGAAAGGAGTTGGGGCTTCTTTGCATATGGAGGGTCACCGAGAGAAAGGTCAGAGGAGCCCAAGGGCCGTGTAGAGGCCAGCTGTGGGTGGAGGGGGGTTGGGGACAATAGCTAAGCGCAGGCCCAGAGGGGCGGCGGGCGGCTCTAGTCTCTACCCTACTCTTCCGGGATAGAGCTCAAAAGAAGAACGGTTGCGCCAAAGCCAAGCAAGGCGCAGGAGAGGCGGCTTGGCGGGACCAGGGCCTGGGAAGGGCTCAGTGTGGGGACGCGCGGAGTGGCCGCGCGGCCAGTACTCACCATTGCAAAAGAACTCCACTGTTGGTTGTTACAGCAACGGCGTACACACAGATTAGGTGCCCGCTGTTCCCACTGTCCCGCGCGCGCGCCCCGGGTTCCCATTGGCCTAGGGCCGGAGTAGGTGGGGCTAACCCGGCAAGGCCCGGGTTCAGGGCAAGGGGCGGTGCGCTGACGACTAAGACTTATCCTCATTGGGCAAGATCACATTGCAAACGTCCATTGGCTGATCCTATGCCGAACTGGACCAATCCCGTTGGTGGAGGAAACTCGGCTGATTCTCAGCTCATGCAGGCTCGGAAAAGAGAGTGGTGGTCAGCAGCTGGAACTCTGTGGGTGTAGGCCACGGACAAACGGAGGCAGGCTGAGAGAGCACCTACAGACAGACGGGTAAGAGTCATGACCTTGTCTTTGGGGGGCCGTCTTGTGTCTGCAGCTGGACAGAGCAGGAGGGCGAGGGGCTGAGTGGGGCGGTTCGGGTCGGGGATTTTCTGGTCTGCCTAGGACTGAGTAAGGGACTCCCAACATCAGAGGGGCCAGAAAAGACGTGAACTTACATGTGGGAATGGGAACTGTATTCACCCGGCAGCTGAGACTAGGAAAGGGTAACAGGCGTGCTGAGCTTTGTTGTCAAGGGTCAGACCTCTGGGACTTAAAAATCTAATTCAGCCAAAGTTTTTTTTTTCTTTGAAAGTGTGCCTTCACGGAAGAATCATTTTAGTTTTGACCTGGGTAAAACCAGCCCAGGATAGTGAGCGGGGGACCTTGGGAACAGACTGTTAATGGAGTGAAGAAGATAATAGCAAGTGTGAGGAGCCTGAGAGGTCTTCAAAATATCCTGTTTGGCAACCACCCTCACAAAATGTAGACAGAGGGGAGCGTCATAGGTCGAGACACCCTCATGAACAAAGTCACAGGAGTGTTGGAAATGTGTAGCAGGCTTGGAAATTTAAAAAAGAGCACATGCAAGGGTATGGCAGAGATGAATTTGCACCCGTGCCTCCTTAACTAGCTCATTGCTTCCCCTCCAAGCAGTGGGACAATAATTTAGGCAAGTTGAGGACAGAATATAAATTTATTGGCTGACAAAGGCTTGGGGCTTATTAGCACCCCACAGGTGGAACTTCTGCCTCTTGATCAGTGATTCAGGTTTAAAAGCTTTCAGTTGTATTTGACACTTTTCCTGTCCCCTACCACATATTGAGCCTCCAAGTTCAAACAGCACTGCCCCTGAAATGCCCTTTCTTTCTCTTTTTGCCCCTGCTGCGTTTCAAGCCTTCATGTTCAGCCTCCCAACTAGTCACAGTCATAGTTCTCATCATGATATGCAAAGCCTGGCATGATGTGCCCCCCAACCATCATCCCCACAGTTGGTCTTCTTTTCCTCTATCCTGCTCAGTCCAGACCCAGAATGCTGGTTTTGTTGTTGGGCGTCAAATGCCAGGAACTGAACTTTTGTTCCAACTGTCCCTTCTGTCTTCTGTGCCCACATCTTTTCTTCCTCCAGGTCTTCACCCAGCTGTCTTCTCAGTGAGACCACCCTTACTCTGAGCACCCTACTTAATGCTGCAACCCTCAGTACACCCAAGTCCCTCACCTTACTCTACTTTTTTCCCCCATAGTACTTATTACCTTGTAACCAACTGTCAGTTTTATTTGTTTTGTTCTTTGTTGCCCTGCCACTAAAAGGCAGGCTCTGTGAGGGCAGACATCTTTGTTTTGTTCATAGTTGATGCTCCAGTCCCTGGAATAGGGAGGAGCACATATAGGGACTTAGTAAACCTGTGTCAAACAACCAACCAGTAGCCTCCTGTTTCCTACCTCTCACCTATCTATTCCACCCTGCTCCACCAGATTAATTCTCCCAGTTCACAGCTCTTATCATGTTAGTGCCCTTCAGAGGCTTCCCATAACTGTGAAGTAAAGTTCATAAAAGCCTCCTGCTCTTTTATCCCTGTGAATGCTTCCAGCTTTCCCTCCATAGCCCTTGTGCTGAAGTCTTGGTTGCCAGCCTGTATCACTGTTGGGAGGTAGTGGAACCTTTAGGAGGTGGGGCCCAGTGAAAGGAAGTCAGATCATTGTGGATGTATTGTAGAAGAGGATATGGAGCCCCTGCCCCTTCCTCTCTATCTCTTTGCTAATCTGCCTCCTTCACTACATACTTCTGCCATCTGTACTGACTGCCTCACGACAAGCCCAGAGCAACAGGGTCAAGAAACTGACATCAAACTTCCAAAAACTGTGAGTCAAAATAAACCATTCCTCTTTTTAAGTTGATTATTTCAAATGTTTTGTTAGAGTAATGGAAAGCTGACTGACACACCTTATTTCCCAGTCCACAGGGTGGCAGCCTCACACAGTAGAAGAGATGAACACAAGTTTTATCTGGGCTTTGTGCCAACTGTGTGACCCTGGGCAAGTCCCTTGATTTCTGAGCCTCCGTTTCTCATCTGTTGAGTAAAACCAATGCTGTCTGCTTTACTAGATACTTTTTGAACCTTTTTTTTTTCTGGTACTGGGGATTGAACTCATGGGCACTTGACCACTGAACCACATCCAAAGCCCTGTTTTATTTAGAGACAGGGTCTCACTGAGTAGCTTAGTGCCTTGCTTTTTCTGAGGCTGGCTTTGAACTCACAATTCTCCTGCCTCAGCCTCCCGAGCCACTGGGATTGCATGCACCACCATGCCCAGCTTACTTTTTGGATCTTAATGGAATAATATACTCATATACAAAAGAGTCTGACATTTAGCAGGTCTCCAGGCAATACTAAGTTCTTTTCTCTGACATGTTCTAATGGCATGCCTGGGGCCCTTAGGCTTGGCTAAAATCTCTTCACTGTACAGCCTGAGTGATCTGATCATAACCCACACCCCCGCCTACAACTTCAGGGTCACATAGCCCCTGTATGTTGTCAACTTTATTCCTAGTCTTACTTCACACTTGCCGTGACACAACTTGTCAGGTATCAGAATATGCTGGATCTGTGCCACCATCTTGTTTGACTCATTCTTTGGGGGCCTTACAACTCAGCTTTGGGGTTACTTTTACTGACCCAGCATCCTATATTGGTGGTCTGGTCTTACCCTCCTTGAGGCTCAAACATACTTCTGTAATTCTTTATTGTTGTTTGCACAGGGCTCCTGCTTTGCAATACTTTCTCAAAGAAATTTATCCACAATGAAAGCATGTACCAGCACCAGGAGAATCCCTCTCTTAAACCAATATTACCAGGGTACTGAGCATGAAGCGAGCAGGGAGGGGAGACAGGGAGTCCTCCTTCATAATCTGAGACTCAGTTCCCATACCAGGATTCCAGACAGAGGTCTGAGAAATGTTACTTTGCTTTTCTTGGAGGGCCACACTCTACTGATTGAGTCCTTTGGGGGAGTATATTTTGCCTGGAATCCTGTTCTTGTTTCTTCCTCCAGGTGGGTGCTACCTGCCTGTGGATTACAGTGATGAGCTCCTGGTGTCCAAGTTCTTGCTTCCTGCACTGCACTCCTTTAAAAGGTGGAGGTACTCATCTCTCTTTGTTTGGTTTGAAACACACTGTCCCTTTTGTCTCTAGGAGTCAGTGACCTGGAACTATCAGGGCTATCTTGTTCTCTTTATCAAATCCTATCAGCAGCCCAAAAGTGGAGCATGGAGCTTGGATTTCACCAGTACAAGATGAATCTCTCTTCTTAAATCATTATTAGCTTAAGACTCTGTTCCAGTGGAAATGGGGAGTGCACATCCTGTTTTTTAATGGATTCATAGAAGCTTTTGATGTGTAAACCCTTAGAACTTTGCTCCTTGAGGGTCCTATATTCAGTAGTTTAGAGCTATTTTTCAATGTAAACATGTAGTAAAATAGACATAGCTGAAAGTGTACATTAACCATTTTTAGGTGTACATGTCAGTGGCTTAAATACATTCCCATCATAATGCAACCCTCACTATCATCCAGCTCAGAACTCTTCTTATCCTGCAAATTGAAACCCTATACCCATTAACAGTCATTCCATGCCGCCCCCCACAGCCCCTGGCAACTGTCAGTCAGCCTCTATTTGCCTACTATGGGTACCTCACATGAATGGTACCAGGCAGCATTTGTTCTTTTGTGCCTGGATTATTTATTTCACTTAGTGTGATGTTCTCAAAGTTTATCCATATTGTAGCCTGCATCAGAACTTCATTCCTTTTTATGGCTGAATAATATTCCATGGTATAGATACACCACTTTTGTTTAACCATTCATCATCCATCAAAAGACATTTGGGTTGGGTTGCTTTCACCTTTTGTCTGATAGTGAATAATGCTGCTGTGAACATGGATGTACAGATATGTGTTCCAAGTGCCAGCTTTCCATTTTGGGGGATCTATACCCACAAGTGAAAATGTTGCCTCATGTGGTAATTCTATGTTTAATTTTTGAGTAATTGCCATACTGTTTTCCACAGCAGTTATACCACTTTACATACCAGGAAAATTCTATGAGCATGCCATGAGGGTTCCAGTTTCTCCATATCCTCACCAACACTTATTATTTTCTGCTGACTGACTTTTGGATAATAGTCATCCTAATGGATGAGAAGTAGTCTCTCTTTGGGGTTTTGATTTTACTTCCCTAATGATTAGTGATGTTGAACAATGTTTCAAGTACTCATGAGCCATCTTGAGAAGTATATCTTCTTCAGATAAATGTCTGCTGGATCAGAGCTACTCTTGATATTCTTTAACCTGACTCTCTCCAAAGTCTCTGTGAGAGACTCCTTTGTTGCTTCTCTGAGCTTCTGCTGACCCTAGGCTTTCCTAGACTTATGGCCACTTCATTCTGGTCACTGTAATCATCTTCTCCTGGCATCCTCCTCTTCTCTCTGTATCTCTTCTCTTTGTGTCTTGCAGGAACAATTGTCACTGGATTAGGGCCCACCAGAATAACCTCCTCATCATCTATACTTCCACAAAGGCCCTTTCTCTGAATCAGGGTACATTCACAGATTCCAGAGATTAGAATGGAAACACATCTTCAGGAGGATTACCACTCACCCCTCTGTAATGGTCCATCAGTGTCTTCGCATGGCTGTAGGGATGATAAATCTAATCTTTTGCTTTAGTTAAGAACTGAATAAAGCATATTTAGGTCATTCATTGTGTTATTCTTTGAAGAGG